CCCAGCCCATATACGACTTAAATTTATCAAATTCAGCCCCCAGCCATCCGTGGTTCTCACGTATGGTCCCGTGAAATTTTTTGGCGGGAAAATAGCTAACTCGGGAACCAAGAAAGCGGGGAAGCTGAAATTTTCAGGGAATGTTCCAAGCACAGGTACGTCATAAACCTATCAAATTCAATCCCCAGTCATACGTGGTTCTCATGTACGGCCCCGTGAAGCTTTTTACAAGTACGGGATAAACCTATCAAATTCAATCCCCAGTCATACGTGGTTCCCATGTACGGCCTCGTGAAGCTTTTTTCGGGTAAATGACTAATTGGGAGGTCGGACTTTGGAGAATATTCCCCGTTCAAATAAGACTTAAATCTTCAAATTCAATCTTCATTTACGCATGATTCTCGTGTACGGGCAAACAAATTTCTGGCGGGAAAATTACTCATTGAACAGTTGAGTTATTTTCAAAAATTGCCGCCAAACGGAAGTAGTTTATTTCTTTTTATGCAAAATTTACGATGATTTTCGACATTAGGCACATAAGGTAAGTGTGAAGGGACAGCAGTTGACCTAATTCAAGTATTGTGCAAAAACGCATGATCGCACCGGCTCGCCTGGCGCGTTTCAGCCTGGTTAAACTAAAAGCTTCCGCTACATCATCCTAATTCAACAATTTTCGAGAACAATTTTATCGAATACAATAATTTTGACAATGTGCTTTGGTGATAAAATTATTGGCGGTTGCTTGAAGCTCCGGATTCCAGTGGAATGCTTCACACGTTTCACCGTTGAAATACCAACGCAAAAGCCAACCATCAGGCGATTCGCAGACTTCCTGTCCACATGCTGTTTCTAAAAAACGCGCAAATATGACTGATAAAAATATGACAAATTATGTAATATGGCTTTTTTATCGAAATTTATATATTCACTGCTCTCAAGATTCCGTATGCGACAGTGAGAAGAGGAAAGAATAGAACCTGCTTGACTTTCATGCGTTTAGTGCTGTACAATAGCTACACAAAACGTTTATTATAACGCTCCTTTCTCTGGGTGTTTGAGCGTGCGTATGTGTCTATGTGCGTATCCGAGTGCGTTTTGTCCGGGTTTTCAATTCACCAACCATAAAATCTAGGTAGCAGAAGTTTTAGGAAACTGTTCTTATCCATGCGTGATCCCGCAAATTTAAATTCTGTCTTCATACATGTTTAAGTGTTAAGCTCGATCACTTGAATGTTTTGACAAAATTACTAATTCGGCATTCCCAAAAATTTAAATTCAGCCTCCATTTAAGCATGAGCTTTATGTACGGACACGATGGAGCCTTAGCGCGAATATTCTGCCTCCAGTACTGGAAAGATGAAAAGCTGGAAATGTAAAATATGAAAAGCTGGAAATTGTGAATATAAAACACTAGAACTTCAAATTTAGCTTTAATGCACATGTGAAATTTTGCGTGAGGAATTTTTAGTTCGGGAACAAGACAAAACAGCGAAAATGTTGGTGAATGTTTTCTGTTCATGTGGGAATCAACAATTTCAAATTTAGCTCTCATAAACACCTACGATTCATTCACAGGACATCGGATTTAGTATTTTTTATGTATACCAAATTATCCGCAGAACAAAACTGCAAAAAACGCATTAATGCACCGGTTTTTAACTTTAACACCGAAAACCACCTCAAAAAGTTCCACTGAGTGCAGAGCAAATAAAAGTAATGAAGCTTTGAAGCATTCTATACACTATTTGAGTAATAAACGTGATAAGAGCAAGACTTGTTCAATTTGCTGGATTTTGCTTTGCTTCGCTTTTTCCTCACCAGCTCAGCTGGCATTTTTTACTAAACAGCAATCAAGCCTTCACATCCCAAGCACGGTATTTGTCGCATTTTATTTGAGTATGCCCCGATTTCTGTAGAGGTTGTTTTGTTTCGCATCAGTGGCGGGTGCTTGTGATGCAAAAACAACTGCCAATGTAGCCTCCAAAGAAGTAGGCGCATAAACGTAATGTACTCGCGGATGGCTGATTCTAACTGAAGATTTTTAGCTTAAGAAAATGGCGCCTGAGAGAAGCGCTTCCGTCGTGTGAATGCACCTTTATAAAATTAGTGGGGATCATCCTTTCCGCAAAACTCATGCGCATTATGTTGTCCTCGTAAACGAACGATTTGAAAAACTTAATATACCTCTGCGCGGGCAGCACACACCGTTGCCTTTCTCAGTTGACAGACCAATAGACTGAATACACTCATATCCCTTCGGACAGCTTCCCTTCTTTCGTGTCTGACAGAATAGCGGTTCACCATCCTTATACAAAACAGCCCGATATCCAGCGCCATCTGGGAGCGGACATGTGAACGGTGGTCCAAGCATTCCTGTACTGGCATCTTTCAGCGACACGCACACCCATCCGTTTGAATCGCTTCTTCTTCTGCATTGCTGCATTCAGTCTCAATTTTGATACGCGCCATCAGCAAATTGAAAAGGCCGTATTTTCCGCCGAAATTATGCTAGGAATAATTCCGGCCAGAAACACGGCTGGAATGAATAGTTTAGATTGCATTTCACGTGTCGGATTCTAAATACAATGCCGAAAGAAAAATACAATGCCGAAAGACATGTGTGTTTTTTATGCGTTTTTTGCGGCTGTGCAATGCCGAGAACGCATATTGACGAGGGGTTGTCTAGGGTGTGTGTCTGTGTATCTGTGTGTGTTCGCCTGTACCGATTTTCATCTCGAGACCTACAAAAGCTACGGAGCTGAAATTTTGGGAATTTAATCTACATGCATGTACAGGCCCGCATCCCCAAAATGGGCGCTCTTACTCACGTACGAGCCCGCCAAAGTTTTTTACGTGTAGGCTGCTAACTCGGGAACCAGAAATGCCGAGAGGTCGAAATTTTAAGAGACGTTCCCAGTCCAAGTTAGTATTAATGAGCTCAAACCTATCCCCCGGGTAAGCGTGATACCCATGCACGGGCCCGTGAAAGTTTTTTTCGGGTAGGTTGCTGACTCGAGTACCTGAAAAGCTAAAAGGCTGTAACTTTAAGGTAGTATTCCCCGCCCAACCCAGCCTTCGGGTATGCGTGGTACCCTGCTTGGGCTCACCAAAGTTCTTCTCGGGTTAGTTGTTAACTCGAGAACCTGAAAAGCTAGAAGAATGTAATTTTAAGGGAATGTTCCCCACCCCACGTAAGTGTTAATCAGCTTAAACCCAGACACCGGGTATGCGTGGTACTCACGCAGGAGCCCGTGAAAGTTTTTTACGGTAACTCGCTAACTCAGGAAACTGAAAAGCTAGGAGACTGGAATTTTGAGGAAATATCCCCCGTCCGTCTAGGTGTTTATGAGCTCAAATTTAGGCACCAGGTATGCATGGTACTCACGTATGAAGGTTTTTTACGGTAAGTTGTTAACTTGGAAAAATAAAAAGCTAGAAAGCTGGAAATTTGATAAGATGATCCCCGCCCAGATAGGACTTAGTGACTTCCAATTCAGATCCCACGTGACGAGTCTGCGAAAACAGTTGGCAGTTAGGTTGCTAACTCGGGAACTAGGGATGCGAAATGCTGAAATTTCAAGGGCATGCCCACCGACTAAGTACAATCCAGTGACTTGAAACTTAGTCCTCATTTGTGTGCGCGGTTTTAAAGAGTGAGCCCGTGAAAATTTTTGGCAGGAAAATTACCTTACCGGGATCAGAAGAGCTAGGGCTGAAGACGGCTTTCACGTCTAAGACATCGGCGTTTAGATGTGGTGTTCAGCCAGATGTATTTGAAACTAACTTCACCTTCCTTCCATATTTCACGTAACTCCGCAACCGAAATGACTACAGCACTAAAATTTTCTGGACATGATCTACGGCCGTATTTCGGCAGACAAAAACGCGTAAGAAAAATTCACTTTTTCCCTCACCAGCACGTGAACTTTAATGTAACCCCGCGTCTAAGGTCACCAGAGAGTTAAGATTTCCTCAGCATGAACCGCTGGACAGGCCCTTGTGAACACATGTAGAATGCTTCCTGCGCGTCACACGCACGGTCAGCTGGAGGTCTCGAGCTATCTACATATTCCAATTAATTATTTTGCCTACCAAAAAATTTCAACCACTTCATTTTTTGCCAAGATTCAATGCTAAAAAAATGCTAAATTCTGGCGGCAACATTGATTTTTATGCGCTTCGTGCTGTGTAACAGTAGTACGAAATGCATATTGTCGCGGGGTTGTCTGTGTGTGTTTGTGTGTGTGTGTGTGTCCGCAGCAACTTGTCCGCAACTTTCAACTCGGGAACCACAAGCTAGGAAAAGCGCTGAATAGGGTAACGTTTCCCACCCACGTGTGACCCCACAAATTTAAATTCAGCTTCCCCGTACCCACGGGTAACGTGTACGGCCGGACGTTCCCCACCCATGTGTGACCCCGCAAATTTAAATTCAGCTTCCCCGTACCCGCGGGTAAGACGTTCCCCACTCACGTGTGACCCTTCAAATTTAAATTCAGCTTCCCGGTACCCACGGGTAACACGCCCCCACCAACGTGTGACCCCGCAAATTTAAATTCAGCTTCCCTGTACCCGTGGGTAACGCGTACGGCCCGGTGAAAGTTTTTCACGGGTAAATTAATATTTCGGGAACCGCGGAGTCTAGCAAGCTGAAATTTTAGGGTAATGATCCCCTGCCCATGTCCAATCATGTCCATTCAAATTTAGCCTTCCCTTACCCGCGGGTAACACGTACAGCCTCGTGAAAGTTTTTCGCGGGTAAGTTAGTATCTCGGGAACCACGGAGTCTAGGAGGCTGAAATTTTAGGGGAATGACCCCCTGCTCCCGCTCAACCTTGCCCATTCAAATTCAGCGTTCTCGCGCTCTCGGGCACCACCTACGGCCTCGTGAAAATTTTGGCGGGTAAACTTTAACTCGGGAATCACGGAAAGATATTCATCCTTCAAGGTTTCGAATTCAGCTTTCATGAGCTGGTGCGTGAAATTTTTAATTGTTTTCCAAGGTTTGAACTATTTCTGCATAGACTAAAGTACAAAGCAGTGAAAATCATTAATAGGCAATCGTTCGATGGGCTGAATTGCATAAAACACATGATGGCGCACCGACTAGTCTGGTGCGCGTTGCTATTTTTTAAAACCCTTCCGCACAAGAAGGAAACACAAGAGTCCACGCACGGCGCAGACTCTGCCTATAGATGATACGGAAGGGTGGGAGTCACTGCCTGCGTTCAAAAGTTCGCGTCAAAAGCGATGAACCTCTCTACCCGCAATCCACACCGCGTGCACACTTCTGCTTCGTCTTCATGCGTGCACAGCGGCCGCAGCCTGCCACCATAATATCTTGATTATATATGGTCGACCTTTTTTTCATTCGCGACGGCCGGACTCATATTTGTCTAAGTAGTGTCTAACGGCCGCAGAAGCGACCTTCTTAAATCACTTTCATTAGAAGTTCTTCTACGGCAGGAGCCCAGTTCGCTTGGGAATTTCCAAAAGAATGAAAAAAATCCAGTCCAGTCATTTAACAACCTCGACAAAAATAAAGCCTTTTTACGATGACAGCTACTACTTTTGAAAACTTTGACAACAACGAAGTCTTTTTGCCGCAGCAGCCCGATACAAACACCATCAAAATCCTTTTGCGGCGGCAGCTCCAGTATCTACCATTTTCGACAGTAATAAAAGCCTTCCACGGCAACAGCCGCTTCTTTTTCCTGCTTTCTCAACAACGCAGTCCTTTCGCCGCGGCAGCCCGATACATACACCATCAAAATCCTTTTGCGGTGACAGCCCCATTATCTACCATTTTCCACAGGAATAAAAGCCTTCTACAGCTACAGCCGCTTCTTTTTCCTACTTTGACAACAACGAAGACTTTTTGCTGGGCAGCGCAGTACCAACTTCGACAACATCAGACTTCTCTTGTGGCAACAGCCTTTCATCAAGCGTTTTGACAAAAATAAGACCATACTTCGGCGATAGCCAATTCTTCCTGTCAGAGAAAAGACTGCAGATGCTGAAGCCAAACAACAACGACGGGCGACAAACTTGGAACACATAGAAAGAGAGAGAACTGCAAATGCTGAAGGGATGCGACAACGTCGAGAAACAGACTATCGAGAAATGAAAAGAGTTGCAGATGCTGAGGCAAGGCAACAACGGCGAGCGGCAGACATCGAATTCCAGGAAAGAGAGAGGACTACAAATGCTGAAGCAATGCGACAACGCCAGGGAAATAGGCCTGCAGTACAGAGAAGGCGAAAGGGGATAAATTCAGAATCAATGAGAGTGCACAGGGACTGCACATCTGCTGACCAAGGGGGAAGAGAGCGTCAAGAGAATACACTGCGGACGCAGTATCGACGAAGTATTGGAGAGCTGTGTGACCAAGAACGCATTAGGGGTCGGAAGCAAAGCAGCAACAGAGAAGCTTCACCTACACGTTGAGTGTTGAAGCGTACGAAACTGCAATCAAGGAAAGGTCAACGTACACCTGCAACTGCTGTGGTAGATTAGAATTCAAGCGCTCCGTTACAACACTCAAAATGTCACATCTGCTGCAAGCTTACGGTGTAAGTGAAGCTCGAAAAAGTCTCATAAAAAATGTATTTTATCTACAGCAAAGCAAGAAATGCTTCTTCAGCAAAATTTGTACACAAAAGTTAGATGCTGGAAGCAGCGCCGTTACTGTCTTTCAAACGGGCTGCAGTTTCCGGTTGTGGATCAGAAATTACAGATTTTGACAAGACTGTAAAGGAGGAATTGTTAATGTCCCTGTTTCCGTTGACACGACAGTGTCTCTGCTTCCTCATCTTCCCACTGATGCGCATGTCGTCCATATTCGCATTGCAGGCTGAATGCAGTATAAAAGCAATTACATTATCGGCAATGTCAGGTCAAATTGCATCTGGTAAGCTGCTGTGTAGAAAGACTTGAAAAAGAAAGACTTGTAGCTGCTCGTCACATTTTCCAAACAATCTGGCCGTCTCACGGTCCGTCTGGACAATACCGCTGTAAAGGAGGAATTGTTAATGTCCCTGTATTTTTTCGTTGACACGACAGCGTCTCAGCTTCCTCCTCCTCCCACTGATGCGCATGTCGTCCATGTTCGCATTGCAGGATGAATGCAGTATAAAAGTGATTACGTTATCGGCAATGTCAGGCCAAATTGCATCTGGCAAGCTGCTGTGTACCTTACGGGACAACCACTTTACCAGCCTCACAATACTGCTCTTTCGGACAACCGATTGTTACAGCACTCTCACGCCCAACCCACTGCACATGCAAGCATTGAACCGGAGGAAGATGAAGAGGAAAATGCGGAATCTCTTAATCCCGGTGCGCAGGAAACTATGTTGACAGCTGAGGAGGGTCAATGGGGCATAAGAATGGCTCCTGCCGAAAGTCACAGGCCTGTTTCAGTCCTTCTCGACGAAGATACCG